CCGCGGCCTCTCTCCTACTTGCTTGGGTGGTGTGGGATGGCAGAGCAAGAAAGCTGCGAGATGAGATCGGCGATTTCTGCGGGACCCCCGAGATACCCCAATGACCTGTAGTCATAAGTCTGATCTCGTTTTGGTCGCGCATTCGCCACTGGTTAAGATCTCGCAGCTGTGCCAGACAGCTGTGTTGAGGTTTTAACGCAGCGGGGCCCCCCGCTACTCGCACCACCCTCGCGCTCCCAGGACACGTGAGAGTTCGAGCCAGACCGATGCCACGAGGGTCTCGGCGCCCGAACCACGGACCCACGGAGCGGCCCAGGGGTCCCAAGGCCGAGGGCACGGTACAAGCGGGGGGCCCGCCACCGAAGGAAAAAACTCTCCAGGGTGGCCGCCGCGGCCTCTCCATACACACCTCTTACTGGCTATAGCCGGAATTCAGTAGCATTAGGCCAAGCTGACTCAATATATCTTTCGAGAGCTGGTTCATTGAGACATCCACAAGGTCGGCGACAGCCTCCTCGATATACACACGTGCAGAAGTCGCAGCACTCCATCTCCCACGCTGCATTGTGCGCTCGAGATTGGCGCCCAAAAGAAAGTCATGGCAGGCGCCTCCTCGCCTGAAGCTGTACCAGGACCAGCGCGCAGGCGGGATCGAGGCGACAGCGAGGAGCGACTTCAGGAGCCGCTGGAGCTGCACGTACGTGTACGGGCACAGATGGTCCGTCGGCTGGGCGCGCTCCGCAGCAACCCGCAGCAAGTTCACTGCGGCGGGCGTTCGCACCACGACGAACTGCACTTTGCCGGTCCTGACGCCCATCTTCGTCTCCGACAGGCGCAGTATGACGCCGCCCTCGGCGAACGTGATATCATCATATGTAAGATCACGCAGCTCTTTGGTCCGAAGCATCGCATCAAACGTGACGAGGACCAGGGCAGCCAACAGAGGCTGGCCAACCGAGACTGCAGCGCCTGCAAGCCCGAGCGCCATCTCGGGGCTGGCCGGATAGGCGCGATTGATGGGCGCCAGCTTCTGCCACGTCTTGACCAGGGACCACGCAAAGGGCAGGGCCGTGCGGAGCTCGGGGGCGAAGAAGAGGCAACCTGCGAGTGCATAGCGCCCATGGCTGAGCGTGCCCTCGTTCGCCCACTGGTCCTCGACGTAGGCGCCCAGCGCGCTGTCTGCCTCGGCCGAGCTGTTCAGCGGGAAGCCACCCTCGATGGCGAAGGCGAGGAACTCCGCGACGGCGATACGGTACCTCTTGAGCGTGACCGCGCTGACCCTGAAATCAGAGAGCCTCTGGGAGCCTCGCAACCGCTGGAGCCTCTGGGCTTGCGGCGAGAGCCTCTTAGCTGCCACACCTTTCGGGATGGCGCGTCGGCGGGGTTGTCCTCCGACGAGATGTAGCCAAGCATGACGTAGCAGCCTGTCGCCCAGCACAAGGCCCCCCAGCGCTTGACGTGCATCCGCAGGACCCTGCTGCTGCTGCGGCCCTTTGTCAGCACCGAAGCGGCGACTTGGCTGTCGATCAGGTGTAGCATGCGCCTGGGGCGGCCCGTGCCCGACCGCAGCCTCCACTTGATGGTGTTCACGGCCGCCTGGATCTCGAGGGCGTTGATGTGCTTCCCGATCCCAGCACGCCAACGGTAACTTGAGATCACCTTCCACGACCAGACGCTGGGCTCGAGCGACACGCGCGGCCACGCGCGGTGCCGGAACGGGAGGTGCACGTCCAAGCGCACGTCCGTGCCCCCTCTCTCCGCGATAGACAGGTAGTGCCGCACGAGCTGCTCCGCCTCGGGCTCGTACTGGTAGTCGTCGCCCTGGTGGTAGACCGCGCTGTCGTTCCACGGGGCCCTGCACTTGCCCGTGTGGCACAGGGCATGGGGCTCCCACAGCTGCGGCTGGAACTCGTCGGCGACCAGGGAGTGCTGCAGCAGCCATGAGACCGCATAGACTGAGAAGCTATTCCCAAGCAGGAAGCAGCGCGTGGTCTCGAGGCTCGAGCCAGACCCGTCTTTTACGGCACACTCGGTGTATCCTCGATCGAACCCCAAGAGGACCTCTCTCTCTTCTGCCGACGGGGGGCGGAGCTCCATGGTGGCCTCATGCTGGAGTAGGCAGGCGTTCTCGTAAAGGCCGACGTGGTAACGATGATCGTCCTTTTTCCAACGAGCCTTCGCTTCGGGGCTGGCCCGAGCAATTCCAGCAGGTCGAGTAGGCTGTAACAAAGAGGGCCTAGCACAGACTAGCGTCGGCACAGGCAGCGAGCCACCATTCCAGATCCAGCCAGGGGAGGTCCAGGGCAGCTCCACGCGCACCGCGCCGTCGGAGATGACATCGACGAAGTGCCCCCTGTCCTTGTAGCTATAGCCCTTGCACGGCAGCAACCGCCACGAGAGCCAGTACAACCGCGGCCTTCTGTTGGGGACCAGGCAACTGCTGCAGAACCGATAGGGTGTGACCTGGAGCTCGCTAGAGATGCGCTCGATGTCCTCGAATGGCATGGAGGCGACGTTCTCGATGAGGGAGCGGACCTTCCCAGGGAACGCGGCGTTCAGCAGCCCCAGGATTCGCGGTATCTCGCGAAAGAGAGCGCTCTTCTGGCCCTCGAGCCCCCTCCTGCCGAACATCAGCCTCGACAGGTCTTGGCATGGACTGCCGGCGCCACAGTAGACCACGTCGACAATCCCGCCGAAGAGCTGGACCAGCTTGTCAATGTGTTGAGTCCCAACGTCTTTGATGTTCCCCCAGTCGATGAGGCCGGGCCACCTCTTCCTGACGACCCTGCGCGCGCTGGGGTCAACCTCCGACGAGACGCAGCCAATGATTTTCGTGCGGAGCCTTGAGAGCGAGACGATCATGCCCCCGATGCCGTCGAACAGCCCTATGACCAGGACAGCAGGTATCTTGTCACCAGCAGGGGGCGGCAAACCAGGGTTCCTCGACTCCCACGCTCGCCAAAGCGACGCCTCGCCCAGCAGCAGACGGCCCGCCATGAGGTGTTGCCTGCCCTCCTGGTCTGCAGCGGCAGCAGCCGTCAGCTTCGAGAGGGCCTCGGGGCACAGCCTCAGTGACGTGCAGGCGCCTCCGCCATCCTCCGAGGCGTCAGAGCAGGTAACCCTCGCATCGACCTCCGCGCGAAGGTCCGTGAAGGCAAGCGGGAGGAGGCCCACGCCGCTGAGGATCTCCTCGGTCATCTCCGAGTTGACCCAGCCAGAGTGAGTGCCATCCGCGAACTTCCAGACCTCGTTGAGGATGCAAAAGAGGACGCGCCTGAACTCCAAAGCCCTGACGAGCTTGCCCAGGAGCACGAGCATGGTCTTCCAGTAGACCCAGTCCTTGGTCACCAGCAGGGCCCCCAAGAGCATGGTCTCGAAGAGCTTCATGAGAGGTGCCGAGACGCGCCCGCGCAGACCATCCACGAGCACGCCCATCCTCTCGACCTTCGTCTCTCCGAGGTGGGCCTTGCGTTCGGCCCAGGCCACGCCGTTGCGCTGGTAGGAAGCCCTCTGTCGCTTCTGGTAAGCAGAGCCGACGCCGACCTCCCCCTCGGTGTCGTTCACGATCCTGGGGGCATCAAAGTCGTCGATGAAGAACTGGTACCAAGACCTGCAACCGCCCACCTGAGCAATGGGGAGCGGCTTGTCCCTCCCCCACTCATCAACCCCAGGCAGGCCCGCTCCAGCGGGGGGAGGGCGCAGGCCCAGGCGTCTATGAAGGTGTTGGAATAACGTGACGGCCAGCAGCCAGCCCATCGGTATAACGGCTGAGCACACATGCACCGTCTTCAGATCTGGGCGGCCCACGAGGCGGCCGGGGACGCGGCCCTTCAACGTCGTGAAGCTGCGCCAGGCCCGCGGGATCTTCCAGACACAGAAGGCGCCCTGCTGGTCGTCACCCGACCAGAGCAAGACGCGCTGGCCCTCCAACACCACCGTAACCCAAGAGGTCGAGGCCGTCAGCGTCGACAGGTCCTGGGTCATGATCTTCAGGTAACTATTCGCTGGCACCATGTTCATGATGAAGCGGCACTGCCTCTGCTCACCAGCCTCGGGCACGCCCCTTTTCTCAACTGCGAAGGCGCCGTTGAGCACGGGGACGCCGTCAGCCCGAAAGATCTGCTCGTCTTCTATGGCCTCCACGATCCCGAGCGAGTACAAATGGCCAACGATCCTCGCCCACTCCGCAGGCGAGTCGACCAGCAGCCTCGCCTTCGGAACCTCAGCAGGCCACTGGGCACGTGGCAGGAGGGCCACCGACGGGTCGTCCAACCAGGTGAGCACCTCAGGGCTGACATGAGCACGAGGGTCCAGCCGGCCAGCGACATCAGCTGCTGGTAGGCCAGGTCGCAGTTCTCCCAGCCTAAGGGGCAGCGCACGCGTGCCACTGTCGATGTCGTAAGCGCTGGACGCCCGCGTCGAGATCTCACTAAGGAGGGGCAGCTGAACCCTGCCAAGGTCGCCCCCGAGGAAATACGAGACAGCCTCCCTCATGACCTCGACGGCGTTGGCCTGAGCGGCGGAGTAGTGCGAGTGGTGGCCCCACGCCTCCTCCCCGCACGTGCCCGCATACTGGTAGTTCGTGAGCATAACCTGGATGAAGACCCACAGTTCGGCAGCGACAGCGCAAGCAGAAGGCCCATCAAAATCGGGTCCAGGTTCACCCGAGGTCCCCGCCGCTGACCCCCTCGACGTACCCTTCCAGGCCCTGGCACTGTCCAATGATGGAGCAGCAAGAGGCAGCACATCACGAAACCTCTGCCCCTGCTGCTGCGGTGAATGCGCGTGGTGAAGAAAACCCCGACAGAACCTGCCCAGCCTGCCAGGGTGTGTGAACATAGCATCTATCAGCCAGAGCGCGAAGGTGAGCGGGGTCATGCCATCCTCGAGGGCCGCAGCAAGCCTGGACTTCCAGGCCCTCAGGTCGGACATGCTAGTGAGCGTCCAAGGCCAGCTCGCTCCGCCGCTGGCACACGACGAATTAGCCTCGGTGGCGTGCGTCACCGCCGAGGTGCCGCCCATGGAGCGGCAGTCTTCTGCTTGGCGGCCTGGTTCTGCGAGCCCTCGCCCTCCAGGATGACCTTGCGAGCACCGCCCTGCACTGGCGGCGCCTGCCTCTTGGGGCCGTCGCCCCGCATGAGCAGCGCCAGGCGCTGCCGGTACTTGCCCTGCGTCTCGCCGTCCTTCTTGGGGTTCTGCAGCTTCAATTCCTTGAAAGTCCTGGAGGGCCTGTCCGTCGTCGGGGGGCGTGGAGGCTGGCGACTCGCGCCCGCCACCTCTGCAGTGCGAGCCGCCTCCTGAAAACCCCGACCTCCAGCTGGCCCACCAGTCGTCCCGTCGCTGGGGTGGCCTGCAGGGGTCGCTCCCATGCTGGGTGGAGCGGACCCCCGGCCGAGTCCCTAGCCGACAGGCTTGAGCGTCCCCGCGAGCTCGGCGAGCTTCAATTCGCCGTACTCGATCTTCCTCAGAAGCTCCTCCTCCTCGATATTGATGGCAGCCATGTCGGCATCGGGAGGGATGAGCTCCAGCCAGCGCGCGCTCCCCCAATGCTTATCCTTGCAGGCGAGCTGGCAGGCTTTGAACCTCTGCATGAGCATGTCCATGGCCTCCGGGAGCTTCCCTTGGATCAAGAGGTCCAGGGACTCGGACAGAGTGCGCATCTGCCTGAACATGTCCTCGCCGATTGCTGAGACAGGGTGCGAGGCCAAGAAGATGTTCAGCAGGAACTTGTTAACTATCGGAGGGGGCTCCTCCTCGGCGTCGTGCATGCCCTTTGTGCTGAGAAACTGATTGAGGTGCGACAAATGGGCCGTCAGCAGCTTCCCAGGAGTGTCGCGAGCAGTCCTCCTGAAGAACGCTCGTGAGGCAGCCAACGACTTCCCAGGCGTGAACTCCAAGCCGTCAGTGATGCCGAAGCCCTCGATGCCCTCGGCAGGGGTGAGCGCGCCCAGCAGCGAGCGAAGGAGGTGAGCGGTAGACCCGCCGCCCTCACGCTCGGGCCCAGCGCCCGCCAGGCCCCCGCTGCCAGCTGCGCCCCCGTCCGCGGGCCCACGCCTGGGAGCCTTCGCCGCCCTCTCAGCCAGGATCTCATCCAGGGACTTCCTCTTGAGCGGGGCCCCCTCAGTAGCGGCACCTCGAGGCTCGGCGGCAGCGTCGCCCTCGGCGCCCAGACGACCCTTCAAGTCGCCCAGCCTCTTGCGGAGGAGCGCCTGCATCTCCTCGTCAGGGCGGCGCCCTGCAGGCTCCTTCACAGCGGCGGCGGCGGCGGCCTCGAGCGGGGTCTCCCCGCCGGCGGTGCCGCGGGGGCGAACGCTCCCGCCAGGCAGCCCCGCGGGCTCCGACGCGGCCGCGGCAGGTGGCCGAGCCCGAGCGGGCGGCCGACCGCGCGCCTTGAAGGCGGCACGCCCAGGAGGGCCTGCGGCGGCGCCAGGCCCCTCCGCCTCGCGAGCGGCCTCGAGCTCACCCGCGGAGTCGACGACCTTGGCGGCGAGCCCGAACTCGTCCAGCTCGGCGGGCACCAGCTCCTCGTCCACGGGATCCCCCAGCTCCTCCTCCAGCGGCTCGGGCCCCAGCTCGGCAGGCCAGCGCGCAGCAGGATTGCGTCGCCGGAACTGGAGGTACGCGTCCTCTACCGACTCAAGGACCACGAACTCGTCGACGTGCGTTACCTCCACGCCAGGGCCCGCCTCCGCAGCGCATAGGATGGCCGTCTCATCCTCTGGACAAAAATGGAGAACACGCTTTAACTTCCTGGCTCCAGGGGATCCTGCATTCTCCTCGTACCACTGCAAATACTGATCAGTGCAGAACAGGAACTCAGCGCGTGCGAACTGGCCGTGCTCGCTCGCCTCATACAGGCTGGCGATCCGAAACACGGCCTCGCCCTGCACGGCGTCGGCGTCGTCGTAGCATGTGACCTGAATGAAGTCACCCGCCCGCACGGCGCGGCCCTCGCCCACGGCCGCCGCCGTGGCGCCCTCGCCGTCCGCCATGCGGCCTGCAGAGGCGAGCTGCTATCAGCTCGCTCGCGCGCCGACGTGCACCCTTGGTGCACAGAAAGACATCAGAGCAAGAAAGCTGCGAGATGAGATCGGCGATTTCTGCGGGACCCCCGAGATACCCCAATGACCTGTAGTCATAAGTCTGATATATATATATATATATATATATATATATATATATATATATATATATATATGCAGAAAGAACTATACATAAGTTAGAACCACGCGCGCGCTTCGTGTACACTTAGGGTCCTAGCCGTGACCGAGGAACTCGCACCGCTACTTGCCAATGAGGAAGCAAGGACGTTTCTGAAGCGCCGTCGGGCTTTGGAAGTGGCACCTTAGCCAATCAGTTCTGAAATCCCAGCGACGTGCAGGGGAGTCATGGGGCTTCTTCAACGATTGTTGCGCTTCTCTTGATACGCCCCAGGACCAGAGGAGGAGCTGAAAAAAGAGAGGTGCCCGAGTCTGGCTCCGTAGTACACGCCACCAGGGCCAAACCACGGTGCTTCGAAGGCCGCCCCCACCTCCTTCCTGGCCACACATATGGGGCCAAACCACGGTGCAGCAAAAGCCAGACAACCTTTTCTGTCTAGGTCGCACCAGCAGGGCGCCGAGTTCGATAATGTTGGCCTCTAGGAAACACTATTGAATAGTTTCCGGGCCACCTCCAGCCGTCGTTAAGCCGTCTTGGAGTCGCTTAGACGCATGTTAAAAGGCGGTCTCTGAGGTTTTTTTGCGGCAGGGTCGGAGCGGTCTTAGGTGGCCTCCTGGGCCATGTTGGAAATCTCTTGGGGTCATTATGGGACCGATTTGGGGGCCTCTTGGGCTGTCCTAGGGCCCTCTTAGGGCAGTACTTGGGCCGTCTGTGGCCCATCTTGTGTCGTTTGGGGGCCCTCTTGGAGCTGTTGACCCGTCTTGCATCCCTCCAAGGAGGCCTCTTGGGCAGTCTTGAGCACCTCTGAGAGGCCCCCCGAAACAGACAAACAGACAAACAAACAAACAGACAGACCGACCGACAGACCGACCGACCGACCGACCGACCGACCGACAGACACAGACAGACAGACAGACAGACAGACAGACAGACAGACAGACAGACAGACAGACAGACAGACAGACAGACAGACACACAGACACACAGACACGCAGACACACAGACACACAGACAGACAAAAACAAGGACATCCTCACAGGGCTAAGCCCACGCGCTTGTCATTCCCCACATGCTTCGTGGGGTTATGGTTTTCTTCCCTGCCGCGCCGCACCCGCGTCTCCTCACACCTCCCCTCCTCTCTCTTTCTTCCTCCCCTCACACACACACACTTCACTCTTCCCCCCCTCGTCACAGCACTGCTCAGCTCAGCTCAACTCACCTCAGCACAGCACAGCTCGGCTCAGCTCAGCACAGCACAGCTCGGCTCAGCTCAGCACAGCTCAGCACAGCCCAGCACGGCTCAGCTCAGCACAGCACAGCACAGCTCGTGGCACTTTCTCGACACCACAGGGGGTGCGCAGGGGTTGGTCTCTCAGCTCGGCCGCTATCCACGACACTGGCGCAAAGCCTAGCAGGCGTGGCACTTTCTCGACACCACAGGGGGTGCGCAGGGGGTGGTCTCTCAGCTCGGCCGCTATCCACGACACTGGCGCAAAGCCTAGCAGGCGTGGCACTTTCTCGACACCACAGGGGGTGCGCAGGGGGTGGTCTCTCACCGCGGTCCCTATCCACGACACTGGCACGACACTAGCAAACTGGCTAGCAGGCGTGGCACTTTCTCGACACCACAGGGGGTGCGCAGGGGGTGGTCTCTCAGCTCGGCCGCTATCCACGACACTGGCGCAAAGCCTAGCAGGCGTGGCACTTTCTCGACACCACAGGGGGTGCGCAGGGGGTGGTCTCTCAGCTCGGCCGCTATCCACGACACTGGCGCAAAGCCTAGCAGGCGTGGCACTTTCTCGACACCACAGGGGGTGCGCAGGGGGTGGTCTCTCAGCTCGGCCGCTATCCACGACACTGGCGCAAAGCCTAGCAGGCGTGGCACTTTCTCGACACCACAGGGGGTGCGCAGGGGGTGGTCTCTCAGCTCGGCCGCTATCCACGACACTGGCGCAAAGCCTAGCAGGCGTGGCACTTTCTCGACACCACAGGGGGTGCGCAGGGGGTGGTCTCTCAGCTCGGCCGCTATCCACGACACTGGCGCAAAGCCTAGCAGGCGTGGCACTTTCTCGACACCACAGGGGGTGGTCTCTCAGTTCGGCCGCTATCCACGACACTGGCGCAAAGCCTAGCAGGCGTGGCACTTTCTCGACACCAAAGGGGGTGGGCAGGGGGTGGTCTCTCAGCTCGGCCGCTATCCACGACACTGGCGCAAAGCCTAGCAGGCGTGGCACTTTCTCGACACCACAGGGGGTGCGCAGGGGGTGGTCTCTCAGCTCGGCCGCTATCCACGACACTGGCGCAAAGGCTAGCAGGCGTGGCACTTTCTCGACACCACAGGGGGTGCGCAGGGGGTGGTCTCTCACCGCGGTCCCTATCCACGACATTGTCGAACAGCCTAGCCGGCGCGGTAATTTCTCGACGCCAGAGGCGGTGGGCAGGGGGTGGTCTCTCACCGCGGCCGCTATCCTTGACGTTCGTCCAGGCACACCAGGCATGGCATATTCTTGAGACCATAAGGGGTGCGCAAGGGGAAGTCCCTCACCGCAACCGCTATGCGTGACGTTCGTCCAGGCACAGCAGGCGTGAACACGCGCGACCTTACATCAGTATGTGGGGTTCCTCGGTAGTGTAATTACCTCAACTAGTTAGTGCGTTGTCTCATATCTGGAACATAGGGCCAAAAGTAACACCAACGAGAGAAGACAAGAAGGCGACGGCAGAAGCAAGGACAACAAGAGCGACAGGAGCACCTCCGTCGCCCGCCAACAGACCCTGGATGACCCCTCCTCCTCCTCCTCCTCCTCCTCCTCCTCCTCCTCCTCCTCCTCCTCCTCTTCCCCCGCCTCCGCCTCTTCCTCCTCCTCCTCCTCCACATCCTCCTCCGCCTCTTCCTCCTCCCCTTCCTTAATATCCTTCCCGTCTCCGTTCGTGAGTTGGGCCGAAGGGACCGTTCCACCTGGCACACGGATGCGGCCTGCTCGCTTGCCTCTCCGCTGTTCCTCCCCTCCGCGCTGTCTCCTCTGCTCCTCCCTCCTGCCCCCGCAACCCCCTGCCCAACCCCTGCTCTCCACAGCCCTCTCCTGCGTTACCCTGTTCCGAGGCGGGCAAGCTGTGGCAGCAGCATGCAGACTGCAGCCACCTCTCTGGGCCGGTGCGGCCCGTGCCCGCCACTGGAACTAAGAGCTGCCCAGCCCCTGCAGGGGCTCCAGACAAGCACTCGTGCCTGCTAGGACAGCCAGATGTGTGAACTGCCCTGCCCTGCCCGCAGCCCCTGCCACGCCGCCCCCGCCTGGACGTAGATGGTGCGCGCCGCGTTTGGGCGGATCACGGTGGAGCCCCTCGCCACGGGGCGGGCCCGCGCGCCGGCGGGGGGAAGGGGGACTCATCTTTGCACGGGCCTTGCAGACGGGCTGCCGCGGAGTTCTGCGTGGATTCCTGAGTGGCTTCTTGCCCGCAGCGGCGAGCGAACAACAAAATGAATTTCGCGCGGATTCTTTTCGGTCTTCATTCCTGGCCAACTCCAGGTCTCAGCTTCGCGCTGCTCGCGAGGCGCGGTCGACTTCCTAACCTTGCGCCGCCCCTGGAGGCCAGACAGACCACCAGGCAGGGGGCCGCGAAGCGCAACGTGCGGTTCATGTTCGTGCTCGCGCAATTGACCACGCCGTGGCTTGGCCAAGCGGAATCTGGGCAACGCCGCCCTGGCGTTAGGTCGGGCCTGTCCCCCTACAGGCGGATTTTGGGCAAAAAATAAAGAAGTGATCGAAAGATCGTCCCCAGACTAATTTTCCCCCTGTAGAGGGACAGGCCCGACTCAACCCTGGCGCCGCGCTGCCCTGCGGGTCACGTGGCAGAGCGACGACATCCCTCGGAAAGCGGGCGCCAGGCGCCCAGGTGCTGGGCCGAGCACGAGCCCTGGGGCGGAGACCCCGGGTCCCGCCCGAGCATGCGCGGGGGGTGACGATGCGACGCGCGGCTTCGCCGGGTGCGTGCTCGACGTGCGTCACAGCGCCTCGCAGCCCTCGGCCAAGAGCGAACACGGAAGACTGCGAAAGGATAGGAAACAAGGAAGGGAGGCAAATCGGAAGGCTAGAGAAGGACGATGAGGCTGAATGAAGAACGGCTAAAGCCGGGAGAAGGGGAGGAGGAGGAAAGGGAGGAGGAGGAGGAGGAGGAGTTCATTCCCCCGACACCCCAGGGCTTCAAGGTGGGCCCCGGGAGTCGCGCGAGGCCCTCCGAAGGCGGCGAGGGCGGACCGAGGCGGAGCCCCCCGAGGCGGACGACACGACGGTGATCAGGAACATCACCCTTGTCTCATACTATTTCGAGTAAGACAGGAAGCAACATCTTCCGAGCTGTGTGGGCCATGCGCACTTGAAACAAGAAATCGCCAGCTTCCCAACTGATGGGAAGGGGGCCCCTCGATGCTACAGCGTCGCACCGAGGCCGGCACAACCAAGGCAAGTCGGCGAGAACGTGGGGAGGAGGAAAACGAGACGACGACGACGAGGACGACAAGCGGACCGGCCACGAGGCCAGGAAAGGCGAGAAAGACGAGGGACACGAAGAGGAACGACGAGAGGGGGACGTCGGCTCATGAGAGCCCAGAGGCCGCAGAACAGCCACAGGGCACGGAGGAAGAAACCGCGCGCCAGTAGCCGCGGCCCGCCCAGTCGGCGCGCGAAACGCTGCGTGCTTCGATGCCTCGGACCAGGCACGCAGGAGGGAACAGAGGAGGAGGGGGAAAGGAGGAGGAGGACGAGGAGGAGGAGGAGGAAGGGGGGAGAAAACAAAAGAAACTGGACAGACGCAGGTGCGCGGCCCGTTTCTCCGGCGCGCAGCCACGCGACGGCCTGAAAAGAAAAAGGGTGCACATTTGTACCGACGGATTTCCGTACAAAGGACCCGGCACACAGGGGGGGAGGAAGAGGGAGGAGGAGAAGGGACGGCAACGGCAGTGCCTGCTGGGGCGCGCGGCAGGACACTTCGCGCCAGCGCGCGGCCTCCGGAGGAGAAAAGACTGCACCTGCAGCTTCGCGCCAGCACGCGGCCTCCGGGCCCAGGAGAAGAGGGAGGACAGGGAGGAGGAGGAAGGAGGAGGGGGAGGGAGGAGGGGCAGCAAGCAGGCAGGCAAGCAGGGGGGGTGGGAGCACGGCCGCGGGGCGTGAGCCACCTGACCCCGCTGGTTAGGCGCGCGTGCTCGGGCGGGGGCGGACGGGGACGGTGGGAAGGGGGGGCCCGCGCCCGCGGGGGTGGGCAGGCCGGCGGCCGGCGCCTTAGTCGTCACCCCCGCCAGGCCAGCAGGCCCTGACGTGGGCGGCCGCCCGCCGGCACAGCGCCACGCCAGCCGCGCTGGCCAGGCGGCGGCACCGCCACGCCCCGTCCGAGCATCCCCTCCGCCGGGCAAGGCGGGTCGCGAGTGTGCGGAGGATGGATGTCGTCCGGGGGCGGGGCCGCCCGTAGGCTGACCAGACTAAGGGTTGGTACAGGATATTCTGGCGGTCCAGAACATCGCTGTAAGGGGCGTAGTACGCCGTCTTGCGCTCGCACATGCTGGAGATTCAGTCGGGGCCGGCGTTGCACGCGTCGGGGGAGGCGATCCCGATGTCGAGCGCCGTGAGCCCGTGCCCCAGCGCCCCCGTGAGTACGTCCGCGGGCCGCAGGCGGGTGCCTGGGATGAGGTTCTGCGCCTCGAGCTCGGTGGCGGGGTCGCAACTCCTGGCGGCCTCGTATACCAGCCGTGCCAGCGCGTGGTGGCCCTTCGTAGCCTCGGCTCTGCTGCAGCAGAGGGCGCGCGAGCCCGCGGAGTCGAGCAGCTCAGCGCCGCAGAGGTTGCAGGGCGTGGGCTCGCCAGGGCCGGCGGCGCCGAGGCGCAGGCGGAGCCCTTCCACAAAGTCCTGCTGGTCGAGGAGGGGCCCCTTGTGTCGGCTCAGAGCCCAAAGCCACTCGTGGTTGGTGTCGGGGTGGCTGAGGTCCTCCAAGCGGCGCAGCGCTGGGCGGTTGCCGGCCTGCGCGTGGCGCTCGCGAAGCTCCAGGCGCGCCTGCGTGTCGAGGCGGGCCAGGATGGCCCTCTGGAGGTGGGCGCGGCCGCGGGGGGCAGCAGCCGGGTGCTCGTCGCCCTCGTCCTCGTCGAGAGGGACGATGCCGCTGCCCATGCGCTGGGGCCGGCCATTCCGTCTGTGACCGCCGTCGCTGGCGCGTGCGCCAGCGTCGGAGAGGCCGGCCCACCGTTCCTCGCATTGGTCGGCCTCGTCTGCGAGGAACTCCAGAAGCTGTCGTCCGGGGGTCGGAGGGAGGAGCCCCATCAGCGTGACAGCGGCCTCCTCCGTGCGCCGGTCGTAGGCCCCCATGACCGCGGCCGCGGCGCACAGGCGGGCCAGGGCGAGGTGCTCGGCCATCTCGCGGACGCGCGGGCGAGAGCTCACGCGGCTGGCGAGGAAGGCGGCCGTGGACACGCGCTCCGCAGTGCGTAGACCGAGGCCGCCCCAGGAGACTCCAGTGGTGGCTTGCTCCCAAGCGTCGTCCGGCAGGTCGCCGCCAACGATGTTTTCCACGGCGGTGCGCAGATCCCTGTCGAAGGTGGCCAGCCGGTCGTGGCCGATCCTGTCCCCGTTGAGGCGCAGCTGGTAGGAGAGCTTCGACACGTCGGCGCAGTCGGGTCAGGACGAGCTCGGTGGGGGCGTGGTTGACGGTGAGGAGAGCGAGGCGGGCGGCCCGGGCCTTCTCCACGACCCCTTTGACCTCGTCGTCCAGCGCGTCTGCGCTGCCGAAGGGGGCGCCCAGGGCGAGCGCGGGGCCCCGTGGGTCGAGGACGTGGCGCGCGCGTAGTCGGCGCCCCAGCCGTCGTGGAGGTGGCGCTGCTCTTGCGGGCAGAGCAAGCGGCAGGAGCTCTTGGCCGTGCCCTCGGCGACAGAGCCGCGGGCGCCGCCGAAGCGGGCGAGGCTGGCGCCCAGTGGCCTGAGCCAAGGGTCAAGGTCTGCTGGCCGGACGAATACCTGCCCGTCGTCCACGTACCACTCCTCGCACGCCCGCAGGCTGGCGGCGGCGGGGGCGGCCGCGCCGGCGGCGCCTCCCAGGGCTGGCGCGGCGGCGGCAAGGGCAGCGGCGGGCGCCGAGGCAGGCGGGCCTGGGGCGGCAGCTGGGGGCGCCGGGCCGGAGGCGGCAGGGGGCCGGCCCGGGTCGGCGGCAGCGGGCGCCGCGGCGGGCGCGGCGGCGGCGAGGGCGGCGGCGAGGGCGGGCGCGCGCGCGGCCGCGAGAGTGAGCCCAGCCAGGACGGTGCCAAATCCGTCGCCCTGCTCGGCCCCGCGGTCGGTGTCGAAGAGTTCGCCAGAACGCAGCTCGGTGGTGGAGGGCTCGCGGTGGTGCCAGTTCGTCCAGGCGGCGATCTCCGGGAAGGCGCCCGGGTCAATCGCGTCGCGCATAGAGCCCCACTCCACGGAGCCGAACATGTTGACCAGATCGACGTCGAGGGCGACCAGAGCGGGGATGGCCCCGGCGGCGGCCAGCTCCTCCACGGTGCCGCGCCAGTGCGCCATCGCCTCACAAGCGCCAGGAACGCCAACACCCCACTGGTGAGCCTGCCGGAACACGGCCCGCAGCTTGTGCAAGTGTTTCTTGGTGTAGCGGTTGGCGAAGGAGCTGCGGAGGACTTCTCCCGTCTTGATGGGGCGTGGCTTCCCGTTGCGCTTTTTCTGCCACACGAGGCGGGTCCGGACGATCCACCGCATGGACGCGTGGAGGGCGCCGTCGCGCATGGCAGCGTGGAGGCGGTTCAGAGCACGGCGCAAGCTGGCGGCCTCGCGGCGGCGCGGCACGGAGAAGAGTTCCTTGAGGTGCTCTGGTCGCGTGCCCGCGGGGCCCGGAGCAGTCAGCTTCGACCACCGGACGCCGTCAAGAGGGTTGTCCTTAGCGCCGTCCTGGTCGTTGTCGTCGTCGTCGTCGTGGTAGCCGTCGTGCGCGGCCAGCGCGGCTGGGTCGCCGGGCAGGCTGGCCGCCGCTGGGGCGGGCGGCGCCGGGGCGCCAGCGGCCCCGGGCGGGGCGGCCTGCGGGTCGGGCGGCAATCCAGGGGGCCCTGGCTGGGCGGCGGCAGCGAGGGCGCGGTCCGGGCGGTCGGTCCGAGGGAGGAGCTGGCGGGCGTAGCGGAGGTCCTCCTCGGCGCTGGTCCGCAGGGCGTCGCTCGTGAGGGCGAGGGCAGCCTTGCGGAAAGCCCCCTCAGCGGCGAGGTGCTTCGCGCGCCGCTGCTTGCCCTCGGAGTCGACTGTGTCCCCGCGTCGCCGTCGCTTGGTCCTGTTGGCTAGGACCCGTTGCTGCTCCAGGCGGTCCAACAAAGCGGCAAAGTCTC